AGTGGTCCTAAAATTGAACCCTGCGGTACCCCACTATGAACGCTGGCCCACTGTGACATTGAGCCTTTTATTACTACTCGCTGCTTCCTATCCGTTAACCTCTTATGGGGGACAACATCAAAAGCCTTTTGGAAATCTAAGTAGATGACATCATAGGCCTTCTTATCATCAACTTCCTGAGTAGCTTCCTCAAAAAACTCCAACAGATTTGTTAAACAGAATCTACCTCTCCTAAATCCATGCTGCCTATCCCTCAAAGCACTACCTCAGAGCACTGACGTGGCTGGGGAAGACTGCCCAGGTCATGGCCAGGTCACACGCTTCCACAGAGAGGTAGGCCACACCGACATGGCCCCAAGCCACCCCCCAGGGCCACCACTCTCCCCCCTCTCTCCTGGCAGTCAAGTCAACACATAATCATTAGCATTTGAACCACAAGGGCGCTGGGAAGCCGTAAAACAACTCAACAGCTACTCATTACAAAATATAATGGCACTCTACAGTAAACTCTTGGTCCTTTGCACGCTCTGTTCATCCACCACTAACTTGCTATTTATGATTCTAGTTTCTGAATTTGGCTTTTGTATATGTGGACACAGGAACTCTTACTTGCTCCATCCAGTCAGTGACATGTGAAATATATCAGGATTACACCGCACAAAGCAAAACAAAGGCACTCAACAAATGTCATATGTCTACTTTGATGTTTCGTAAGTTCCTTTGCGATTGGCTTTTGTAATGAGTCTTTGTTATTTATAGTCAGTATTACTTATACTTCTTGCTGTGATCATTGTTCATTGTTCTTTTGATAACACACTATGAATGCTATGAATGCTATGACAGTCTGCAGGGGACGGGCAAGTAAACATCTCATTGCGCTATGTACACATGACAAACTTGAACTGAAACTTGAACTTACTGGTTACATTGCGACGACACTGATCACATAATGGCTGGCCACCTTGAGAACTGCAGAACGAAAATGATACAAAATACCCCCCAGTGCAAGATAACATTTATAGCTAGCTGTCTACATGGTGAACAACACGAGCGTCCATCTCCTGTACTTGGCTTCTCAATGGACATGACTCCCTCTAGTGGTGGTTTTTTGTTTTGGTGGATAAGCCATAGATTTCAGTGACTAATTTTGTTGAGACAATGAGCTTATTAATACACACATCCAGGGCCGAATTTAGGAGGCTTCATCACATGCTGTGATAACAACACATGTTAATGATAAATAGCCATGATAAACCCTGTATTGGCCATTTGCACTGGTACATAGGAATTGGTTTCATCTTGCTCTCCATAGCTACAGTCCAATAACAAAACAAGTGTCTCGTGTCAAACAGTGTCAGGAATGCTGCCTTTCTGGTCTGCTGGGTTTTTTCCCTTTATACCATCTAGATCGAGGTTCTTCATTAGTTGTTTTCCTGCCACAAAGTGCTGAATCCCTTTAGATATAATCAGTTCCAGATTTAGACAAAGCCCAGGTGATCTGATTTATTTTCAAAACACAATAAATTACTTCAATAAAACTGTAGATGTAAAAGCCTTCAGGTTATCCAACAAATGCACATTCCAACAACCTCTTTACTGAGAACAAGTAATTCGGTTTAAAAAGCTATTAGTTCCATCAAGTGTTTAAGTGTTCAGACAAAACGCTGGAAAGGAAGAAGGAGTGATTTTAACACTCTCTAGTGTAAAGTCAGCGATGCGTCAAGCTGACAAGCGGCAGCTGGACCCGAAGGATGCCTGTTTACATCACATCAGCCGTCCGATTCTCATGCCTCATTATTTGAGTCAAATCGACTTCAGCACATACTGACCTCAGCACAACTCTTGCCACTTTCATTTATGCTACAAATTTGTGTTAAAAATGGAACAAAAAATAGAAATATAATTGGTGGGTAAAGCACTTCTGGACACGTTCAGGTCGCCGTGTGTGCTGAAGATGCGACAGCACGGTAATCCCTCAGATAGGCCCTGCACCACTTACCACGCTGCAATTATCAGCAGAAATGGAATCATTTAAACTATCAGCTCTTCTGGAAGCTGTAATGTTATTTTCCCTGCAGAATTTTCCACTGAGTTGATTTAGGTTTTATTGGCCAGTTTATGAGGATTCGGATGATTGAAGTTTTACTGTCAATTGATAAGAGTTAAAAGCAATTAATCAACTTGAATTCAGCTACTGCTAACACTGAAGAGTATTACTGTATTAAGAACTGCAAAACAACAGATTGACGGGCAGTTTTCCTGCAGGCAGCAGTTAGACAGGTGTATTGACATAATGGGAAATCAATTTATTTCTTTTGGGACAAATTTGTTTATATATTTGGTAGGCTAGCCAGTGCCGTCGTAGGATGATGTACGCCACATTAATCCAGAAAGGAATGTCTTTAACGGTATGTAAGTCGGGTGTGTGAGCGCTGTAAGTCTGCATTTCTCGGGAAAATGAAACCTGTGACTGTGTATTGTGTGGGTATATGCGATTCAGGGGGAGGCGGCTGGCATGGACAGTTTAAATAGGGCAGCCGAAGAATTAAGGAGCACACAGTTTCCCTCCGAACTCCTGAAAAGGGTAAGACGCAAAAATATTGGGATTTGGAGTTTATAGTTATTAATAAACGTTAATAATAATACTAATAATAAATATACCAATTACAGTACTTACTATTATTGACTTTGCTACTGTACATATCTCGTAAATGCATATTCTATAACTGGGTTATGTTACGCGACAGCATAAAAGTACATTTTAGTTAGGGTGTCATCAAATGATAAAACGATAATTTGCAAATGTGCATAAAGATCAAAATCTTCACATTATAATTTGCTTCTATATTTTTGCTGTTGCCTAATTTTAATGAAAGGTGTTTGATGCGACTAATCATTAAACACTACGATTTAGAACGGATCACAAAATTGACCGTACTATTTTCCCGCCTGTTTCCAGTTGTATAAAACTATAGTAAAATGATTTTATTACCCTTATATAATCATTTTACATTATGTTTACGTAAACTTACCAATTTAGCGGATACCTAATTAATGTTTTTTTGTCTTACATCATTGAAAATGTGGATGTTGAGGTTGTACTCCTTCGATTCCCTGACCTTGTTTACCATTTATCGGAGCACAATGTGTATTTTTCTGTTGCCATTTTCTAAGTAGCATATGACTAATTTGTTATTAATGCTGCACTCATCTTTTATTTTAAAAGACCTGGCACTTACTATTCGGTTTTTTTTTAATTAAACTAAATCACTCCAGCTTGTTCACAGCCAAAAGATTGACTTGAGGGCGGGTGGTGACCTCGTGGTTAGGAAGTGCACTTGTAATCGAAAGAATCCCCGACCAGCAAAGTGCCACTGAGGTACCCTGAGCAAGGTGCCGCCCCCAAGCACTGCTCCCCGGGCGCTGAATTAGCTGCCCCCTGCTATGTCACATATGGGTTAAATGCAGAGGACACATTTTGTTGTTGCTCACTGTGTGCTAATCACTCGCACTTCACTTCTTTTAATATCTATTGACCTTCAAAACCACTTATACAGTGCAAGGTCATGATGTGTGTGGTGCATATCCAGTACATTGCAGGGCACACGCGGGCACAAGCACGCACACACACGCATGCACACATACACACGCACACACAAACACATACATACACATACACACACACACCAAAGGCCATACCGAGACACCACATTCCCTCCACGTTTTTGGAGAGGAAACCAGAGCAGACATGGGGGGAATCTAATGACGCATGCCTGCCTGCACCCCCCAGGCCTGAAGGTGAGGCCACAGTGTCGACTGCTATGGCCCCCACCTTCAAACATGCTTTGCTTTTCATTTCGATGTAAGACACTAAGTGAGCTCTCGCCTTCAGTGCTCAGTGAAGAGGACACGGAAAATGTGGGCTTGGACCGGCTGCTTCCCGCTGCTCCTGGTGGCCGTTGGTTTGGCTGCAGGTAAGCACCAAGCACCAGGATTGTTCTAGAAAACACGTGGGGTTTCATTTTCCCTGAAAATAATTAGAATGACATAAATCGCAGGAGGAATGTATGACTTCTTGTCCATCAGGTTCATTGACAGTCACTTTCAGCTTTGCTTCTGCTCTTGTGGCCCGTGGTTTCTTAGGGCTACACAGCTGTGATGCCATGGTTCAGTCGGGTATAAAATGGTTACGAACATGTTTAAGATATTTTCCATTCATTGTTCACTGCTTCAGATGCTTTTGCTTTCAAGATCGTCACAGGGATCCTTGCCCTGTCCAGCCAAAGCCTTGCTGTGAGATGCGGTTTGTTCCTGTGTGGAGATCAGTCACTGACTTCGATAGTCAGGTCCATCCCTTCCAGAGGGGTTGGACCAAAGGCTTCTTGGTTACCAACAAGCCGATTGACTGTGTGTGTCCACCTACCGCTTGACAGGGGCCAGGGATGGAGATGTGAGGCTGGTGGGGGGCCAGCGGTCCTCCGAAGGCCGTGTGGAGGTGTTCTACGGTGGGCAGTGGGGGACGGTTTGTGACGACGGCTGGGGCATAGCTGAGGCACAGGTGGTGTGCCGCCAGCTCAATTTCCCTGGTGCTCTGTCCGCCGTCTCAGGTGGCACGTATGGCCAAGGTGAGCCCGACTCACTTTGCTAACATTGTGTTCATTTTCACATTTGACCACTAGGGGGCAGGGTGAAATTCCCACGCTTAGTCAACAAGTGCTGAAGTTCTGCACACACACGCATGCACACACGCACATATATATGATCATAAAACTAGCAGGGGACCAGTAGTTGAACATGCTTGCCTTGCTAAATTATATATTACGGAAGTGAATCAAGGTTCTTGTAATTAAATGGTTTTAGTTAATATGTGTGTTGGTGTCATATGTTGGGCAGGATCTGGGGCCATCTGGTTGGACGATATGGAGTGCACAGGGGACGAGAGTGACTTGCCCAGCTGCTGCTTCAAAGGCTGGGGGGTCTCTGACTGTACCCACAGTGAGGATGCAGGGGTTGTCTGTGACCGAGGTAAGGTCTCAACAGTGCGGTCCTGATGGAACCAGAATCCCAGCAGTCATTATTGTTCATTAACGTGACATAAGACTCCAGGACCGGCCACGTTAATTCTAACATGGACGCTTTAGCCAGGACACCCGTTTAAAAGGTCACTTCAGGGCCTCCTGCCCCCCACTGTGTAGTGACCGTTTCTGGCCAACAGGAGGGACTTCAATCCTCGGGGGTCACACACAAACGTGTGGTTTAAGTGGCGCAAACATCACTGTTGAGGACAATGATCTAGATGTTTCTCTTCCGCAGATACTGCCCTTAACAACGTGCATGTCTATGCCGTGGATGACGGCCTGAACTTGTCAGAGAAGCTGGGTAGGCTGTGGGACAGTGGCATTGGCTGCGACTTCAGCATTGTGGTGCAGAGTCCCAACAGGGACCCAGCAGATGAGACCTTCTGCACCCATCGCTTCATCCTGTCCCTGGACCCGGACTTCACCTTAGTCAGCTCCTTGCAGAGATCCAGCAACCTCACCATGTTGGTCAGCTCGGCCTGCCGTCCCTACGTCTCCAGCTTCCTCAGGTCCGTTCTCCTCCATGTTGCCAGGCTTTCAGCTGGTCATTGTCTTTTTAGCTCAATTTTAGCCTCAAGTAATCCTGGGTCGACATTTAGTATCTATGTTATATGGCCACTTATGCTGGTTGATTTGAAACGAGTCAAAGTAACCAAAAGAGTGAAATCTGTATTGTCTCCAGGTATCTGTATACCAGGCAGATTGGTATAACCATCGCCTCAGTCCTGTGCCTCCACCAGATGGCGTCAGAGTTCAGGGTAAAGCAGCTTCAGGCCGATTCAGCTCGCCTCTATCCTTGGCTGCTGCCCGAGGACGATACCTTCAGCTCCCCATTGTCCATGTATGATGACGGTATCCGCACAGGGGACCGAGTGCTGCAGGAGGTCTGTCTGCAGTACCTGGCCTGGAACTGTGAGGCGCTGATCAACTCCACAGCTTGGAGCACTTTGTCCACAGAGACCCTGCAGGCTCTCCTATCCCGCTCTGACGTGATAGTGCCAGATGAACCCTTCCTGCTAAATGCCTTGGAGAGCTGGTTCATGGCCAGTGGCAATGAAACCGAGCCAAGCACCGTGGCCGCCTTACTGAACAACATCCGCTTCTCCATGATCTCGGCCGACACTCTGTATGATCTCCAGTTCACCTCAGACACATACAAGAAGTACACGGCGCTCTACGATGCGGACATGGTGGAAGGCTACCCATTCCACGTCCTGTCATTCCAGAAGCTGAAGACGCACATGGACAGTGTGGATGTGGGGTACTCCCCCAGGACCTACACCGGAAGCCCATGGGGTTACATCATCAGTGCCACGGAAATCAGCAATTACAAGCAAAGCAACTTCAACAACCCTTATAATGGTTGGTACAATGGTTTCAGCAGGTCTTTTACGACCCCTGCATTTAACAATGCCCTCTTCCAGGATAAGATGATGACCTGGACTGTGGAGATCTACTTCTCCGCAGAGGAGTGTGCACGCAGAGGGTACACCTGTAATTCGGGCCTAGCAGCCCGGCTCTACCCCAGTAGCTATGTGCAGAATTATGAAGGAATCGGCTACAATAACAGGGTCGTCATGGTGTGTGACACTGGTTACATCTTCCACGTTCAAGATTTCAAGGACAACATTGTGTACCTCCCAGCGAACAGCACGACGGGTCAGGCCTACCCCTGTTTCACTGACCAATATTCATTCCAATTTGTTGTTCGTCCCCAGTATAAAATGTAGTGGTTTACAGTGAATGCCTTTCTCTGGGCGTAAATGCATATAAAGTCTGCTCTTCTTCTCTACTATTCTCTGTTTGCAGTGATCTTTTCATCTACTAAATTAAACAGTAACTCATTAAACTTCTACCAATGGTTTTTATGTTATATACCAGTTAAAATATCAACATTTTAGACTTTAAAACATAATCGTTTACCCATGGTTAATAAAAACATTTGATTTTTCTGTTTGCTATCAAAATCAGTATCACCGTGTAATCAAAAAATAATTCTTTACCAAAGCTTTCTGTAATACATTGAGAACAGACATATTTTTCAATAGATCGTTTGCAGCACTTTCAAAGATTCTACTGTGTTTCTGAGTAAATAAAGTTGTCTTGGGGTGATTTTGTAGTCGGGGTTTTGTGTTGTTTTGCGTAGGTCCTTATAATGCAGCACAGCTTGGTCTTCTGGCCTCTTTGCATATCCACTTATCAGTGTCGGGGTGTAACGAGTTACATGTAATGGCGTTACGTCATTTAATTACAAAAAATGTCATTTTAATCCGTTACAGTTACTAGAGAAAAAAGTGTAATTAAATTACAGTTATTTATGGAAATATTCATGATTACAATTTTAGTTATATCATAAGATTGTATGCAAAACCTTGCTAATATCTTTAATAACAGTATTTTTATTGCTTTTCATGTTTTTCTTACGCAAAACATCCTCCTTTGCTATATCCCTCCACAGCCGAAAGTTATCTGTGATTTGCGATTGAAAAATTTATTTAAACAGAGTAAGTGATTACACAATCAGCTGAAATTTCATATCCTGTCTGATGCAAGAACTGTTCAGATCAGAAGTAAAATGGAACCATTTATTTTCGCAAGTATGTTTGTATCATAATGTAATCCTGAAGCGTCACGGAGTGGTCAAATCACTCGTAGTTTATCTTGTTTTGACTCCCAAAAAGTTTATATTATGAACACACATTAGAAATAGGCTGAGTTTTAACAATTTTTTGGACATTTTAGGTATATTTTATGTAACATTAATGTTATGACTTGTTACACTAAGGGAATCTGGGTTTTCACTTAGTATGAAGCGAGGATATATTCTTATCCGTTGTTTAAAATCATTATTAGGCCTATATGGTATCTATGGTATGTTTGGAATACCAGTCTATAGCGAGACACACGCGCATTCATACCCACACACATGCACATTCATACCCACACACACGCGCATTCATACCCACACACACGCGCATTCATGCCCACACACACGCGCATTCATACCCACACACACGCGCATTCATACCCACACACACGCGCATTCATACCGACACGCACGCAGTCATAGCCACACACACGTGCATTCATACCCACACACACGTGCATTCATACCCACACACACGCATTCATACCGACACACACGCATTCATACCCACACACACGTGCACGCATTCATAGCCACACACACGCGCATTCATACCCACACACACACGTGCACACACATTCATACCCATACACGTCCGCACACACACGCATGCCCACACACACTCACACGTCCGCACACACACGCATGCCCACACACACTCACACGTCCGCACACACACGCATGCCCACACACACTCACATGTCCGCACACACACGCATGCCCACATACACCCCAGAGGACCAAGTGTGGCAGAATTTTCTTACCTCTCTAGGAACTGTCCTCAGTATCCAGGGCTCTGGTTTCATACCTCTGTTTCCAGTTAATGTCACTGTGACCAAAATGACATGCAGGCCAACCCTCACCTCCTTCGATCTGCTGCTCTGTCCCATTTGCAATCTGCTAGCACTGACTGATGTCACATGACATTGCATCACTGATTCACCTGGACAGACCTTTGTGATTATGATTCCATCTGTCGCCGCTTCCCAATCAAGCATTTATAGTAATTTAACAGCAATCTAATTAGCTCAGAATAAAAAGTTCTCGTCACCAAAACAGGGCTTCGCTCTCCATGAGTCTAACCTGTATGTGGAATGCTTAGCATCTTAGATGTTCAAAAGCTGACAAACTGAATGACTGATTGTCATTGTTGGTGAGCACTGGGTGTCTCAGTTTGGGCTGCTGTTTAATCCTTTCCTCCATCCCACATAAAAAACACAGAAATGGTAAAAACATTTCTTCTGGCTTCAGATAAAACATTTCCTGCATAGTTTCCCAGTTGAGTAGATCACCACAGTCATATAACTGGTGTGGCAGCTCCTCACACACACACACACAGACACACAGACAGACAGACACACACACACACACACACATACACAGACACACACACACACACACAGACACATACACACACACATACACACACAGACACATAGACACACACACAGACACACACACAGACAGACACATACAGACACATAGACTGACACATAGAGAGACAGTCACATACACACACAAACAGACACATACAGACACAGACACACACAGGCACACAGGAGTCTTGTTTGAGAACCAGTGTCTCATTCACAGACTACTCTTAGCCAGGAATCCTGGGACTAGGTTTGCTAGGTCTAGGTGACGCGACCCTCAGAAGTGAACAACCTGCATTCCCTGCAGTGAACATGGACCCCCCCCAAAAGGCCGTGCTGTTTATTATATTCATTCAGTCAGGATTTTTAGACATTGTTACAGTGAGAAACCAAACAGCAATTTATTTCAAATTTAGTTCAGAGGCATTGACGTATGAAAATCCAACTACAGTCTGATCCTTCAGTCATCTAGTTAATGTTCAATAGCCTGTGACAAGTACAGCATGCTAACAGCTGAAAGTCATCCCAAGACCTACTGACATCATGTGGCGTGGCATGGGCGGCCTCGGCTGCCATTTAGTTTCCGTTATTGGGCTGATTGGTCTGTGGTTCTTGCCACCGTGACACTGCACGGAGATCAGAAGGGACATATCATGGAAACAAGAGCCGGAGTGGCCAGTGAGCCCAGTCCCACAGGATGCGTTGGTGTCACCCTGAGGTACGACCATCTGGGCGTGGACAATGCTGCATCACGGGTGGGGAGCAATTCCAGCTGACCGCTGAGCAACCACAGTGACTTGTCTGGACATTTCCACACTATCCGATGGAACTCTTTATCATAGGCTATCTGATGAATTCCTGGGGGTGGATGTAAGGGTGGGCTTTGAAAAAATATAATTGGAGCGGTCAGACGTACCTTGGTCATCACCTGTGATGCCATTCCATGGAGTGGATCCAGGCGTGGCGGCTTTTTCCCAAGGCTGCTACACCACTAGTTCATGGCCACATGGGTCCTGTAAAGGGAGCCCAGGTTAAAAGCAGCAGATGTCCTGCATTTTTCCCTGGTTTCTGTCATTGGGCAGACATGCGACCGGTTAAGGATCTTACATCCATCAGAGAGGTCATGCCAGAGGGGATGAACAAAGCAGGCAGGAACGTTCCCCCCACTTTACAGCTGCAACCATCCCCCCAGTTCCTGTAGCCTCTCTGATTGGTTAGGGGCCTCTAGTGTCCGGAGGCTTTGCTGGCCCTCATAGGTTAGATAGTACATAAGAATTGAGAAACTCCTATTCCCATCCAGACAAATGACTCCAGAAGAGGCTTCTCAGACTCTAACTGGCTGAGTGCTGGACCTTCTGCCAGGTTTCAATGGACGCACATCACGGCAGACCAAGACAAAAAGAGAAAAATGGTCATCCTCTGTTCTTCTACAATACTGTGTGGGTGCGTTTTTCTTCTCTTACATACTGTCAATTATGCTTTGGGTGGCCTTGACAAATTTAGCTTTCCACCCCAAACACAAACAAATATGTTCCAGAGGCAACATGAGTATCTGGCAGCTATCACAGCAGGCCTTGTTTCTGCTGTACAGGGCCGGATTGTCCTTCCGTGCTGTTAGAGTCATGGACAAATCAAGGGTTTGATATCAGTCAGTGCTGCATTTCATGAAATATTTCCTAGCGGATGACCTGTGAGATCTGCACGTTTCATACCAAACCGATATATTAAGTCTGAAGGACATTTCTGGAAGCCAGGACAAGAGATTGTAGCCTAGCAGCTTATCTGGTCACAATATTTATGTTAAACAAAGTGATTATCACACTGTCTGCCCAAAGGGTTACCAGCATCAAGTAACAGGGGCTGTAGCTCGTCTGGCCATATGTTGTAGAGTTCATCTAGCGGGTGGATCTACGCAGAGCCCCTTGCCCAGATTACTCAAGCTACGGGAAAGCATTGTGTCAAAAGAGAAGTATGACGTACAACAGTTACTGAAGATGGGGCTTAAAAATTCTCAGTTTTCAGCTGCCCTTCCTCTGACTAGGGAACTGACCGTTTGACCAGAAGGGCTCTAAGGTCACTTCCAAAGAGGGGAATCAGAGTTCAACGAAAACCCTTTAAAAAAAAAAAAAAACAACAACAACAACAACAACAACAACAACAACAACAACAACAACAACAACAAATCAAGACCAATTATTTTCATAATTGTTTTACTGTCTTCATCAACACAGGATAAAATTCCATTTCATTACTAAAGAGACTTGTAAAAAGGGCAATTTGCCCCAGTTTCCCTTCCTTCTGATGCCTTATACCTGCTATGAATTACAGACAAATCAATCAGTGTCACGATCCGCTCCGTTCGATCCGATGTGTGCCACGCCCACCTCGTTACCTCGTGTGATTACCAATTGTGATCATCTGTGTCCTGTTATTTCTGCCTAGTCTTTTGTATTTAGTCCGAGTCTCAGTCTGTCTTCCCCAGATCTGTCATTGTAGTGTCAGTGTGTTGTCCGTGCTTGTCCGTCTACGTACAATAAATC